GGCCTTACTAAGGCTTTATAAAGAGGTACTACTACTTCGCGTGATGTTGATTCTATGCCTCTCTTTATACAACCAAGGATTGTATTAGCTTTTTTGGCTAATTGTGTCAAGACTACTGTCCTATCTCTCATTTAACCCGGGGTGGAGAAACATAGTAACTTTTCCCCACAACCATTGACTGGAATTGTACACCTGAGAGAAGCAGAACTATTGTAAAATGGTGCCCCCAGTTTCTAACCCTTAGGGGGAGCTGATCCAGAAGGATGCATAATCAATGGTACTGAAGGTTATTGATAGATTCAGCAGGCAAAAGGATCGTGCTTGAGCCCTGATTGAAAAGGATATAGATAACTGATAATGTAGATTACAAAAAAAGAATGTAGATAATTAACTGATTTGCCTATTCCATGTTTCAGCAGAAATAAAATCATTTCAGTTGTTTTGGTCGTGGGAAACAGTGGGATTCAGAACTAGTTGCTAGGTAGCAAAACCAGAGGCAACAACATCAACAAAAAATGCAGGACTCTTTGCTACTTTATGATGGCTTCCCCAATTTTTGCACCCTAGTCTTTTAGGAACATTGAGCAGCAGTTTGCTTGGAAGTGGAGATGCTTTAATTAGGAAGAATGTAGGAAAAATACTGGCCCTGCATTTTCAATTCTTTTACCAATTACCTCCTCCGCAGGGCAGGAGAACATTCTGACTGATTAAATTAATTCCAGGCAGGTCATTAAGGAGTTATTTTAAAAAAATAAACAATTTGTAAATCTGTGCTGTCCATGACTAAAGCTATCCTTGCAGACAGGAATATTGAGCTATCTGCATCCATCCCAGTGTTTAAAAATTCATCTTCAAAGTTAGTATTTTTCCTGGCCAGATGCCAAAAACAAAACAAAAATAGGAAATGCAGCTTTTCTTTCCTTGTTGAATGATTAGGAAGGAACTAAATAAGCACCTGCAAACCGACTTTGCTTGGCTGCTAGCGTTTATATATTAGATATAAATTACATCTTCTACAGCCTCAGGAATATTCAGAAGAATAGAATGATTCCGAATCATGTGTGCACACTTGCTCAGCAAAACAGCATTTCACTACAGGTAGCCCTTGACTTCCATCAGTTCATTTAGTCACCATTGCAGTGGTACTAAAAAAAGTAACTTATGACCGTTTTTCACACTTGAGACTGTTGCAGTATCCCCATGGCCATGGGATCAAAATTCAGATGCTTGGCAACTGACTCATATTTGTGACAGCTGCAATGTTCCGGGGTCATGTGATCACTTTTTGTGACCTTATTACAAACCAAGTCAATGGGGAAGCCAGACTCATTTAACAACCGTGTTTCTAATTTAAGAACTGCCGTGATTCACTTAGCAACTATGGCATGGAAAATGGGGCAAAAATTCGCTTAACAAATGTTTCACTTAGGAACAAAAATTTGGGGCTCAATTAGGGCCGTACGTCGAGGACTAGCTGTATACACTTGAAGTGCTAAAGGGACAGCCAAGAGTCAAGGCAACAAGCTCAAACATGCCTTTCCATAATAAAGAAAGACCAGGGAAAGAGTGATGATTAATATAGAGAGAGTTGTTAATATAGAGAGTGTCATCAAGGCATTTCTTGTCCCCCCCCCCTCAATATTAAGTGCAGCCCCTAACCATTAAAATTTCCCACCACTCTTTTTACTTTGTTTAGCCCCAGGTCTTCAGAAATCAAGACCTGGGGCTAAAGCAAATTATTTTGCCTATTTTTATGGAGCAATGAGAAGTCTTGGAATTTTTCCTCCAGGATTATATACAGCTATGGATAAATTTAAAAAGAAAATTATTTCTTCTAGGTTTGGAGTCAGAGTTCACTTCGGCAAAAGGTTGACTGCTTTATGCTTGCTAAAAATTATGAGTGAACTCCGTCGATGGATATCTTTCATATCAATAACCCTAATAAATAGCTGGAGATGATAGCAAGCAGGACGGATGGTTTAATGAGAAATCCTTCATATTTCCATCAATATCTCAAGTAACTAAATATGGCTCAAGATAAAGTCAACCCATGCAGATCCAAATTCATCAGGCAATCTTGGGGAGGGCCTTCTCGGTGGGAGCTCCCACCCTCTGGAACGAACTACCCCCAGAGATCCGGGTGATCCCGGATCTCCCCTCCTTCCGCCGCGCCCTTAAGACATGGCTCTTCCAACAAGCAGGACTGGCCTAAGGGGAAATTTTTAGAGGGGTTTTAAAAGCAATTTTAATAATTAATAAGGCCAAATTTAATATTTTATTTTAACTTTGTTTTAATGATAGTTTTTGGGGTATTTCTGTAGTGTTTTTATCAGGCTGTCAGCCGCCCTGAGTCCGCAAGGAGAAGGGCGGGGTAAAAATTCAATTAATAATAATAATAATAATAATAATAATAATAATAATAATAATAATAATAATAATAATAATTTATGTTGGATTTATCTCTGATACCGAGATCCTTAAGCCTGTCTCTTGGCTGTGCTGTTTCAAACTGCTTTGGGATTAAATGCCTCTCCATAGCATAAAATCCCCTACACTTTTGTTTGCACTGTCAAATGAGATAAAATGCTATCTAGTATTTGCTAAACAATTAGGTTTCTCTGTGCAGGACCGTCCTCTCATATCATATCTCCTTGATAACTTTTATTGAAGAGTCAGTCTTCAAAAGGTATCTTGCATTGCTAGATGGTTGCTTCTCCGCTGAATGCACTTCAGTTAAGTGGGGAGGCGCTTAACTAAGAGATGATCTACTAGTTTAGGTCTCTCAGTCTGTGTAATTGACCCAGACATGTGAGCACATGTAATTGGACAAAATAGCTGAATTTAACAGAATGAAATTACTGTGTTCAAATAGGTCCCATAGATTTTAGAAGTAGCAATGTGTGGAGGTATGGCTCCCTCTAATGGATACTGACCAAATTGCAGTGGAAAGATCTCTCAAGTTCAGAGATTTTCTAAAGGGGTGAGGTAGGTGGCCAATAAATTTAATAATAATAAATAATAATACTGTGGCAGTGAGAATAAGGGCTTTCCCCACCATAGCATTATCACGGAATCAGTCCAATCAATGTTGGTATAAAACCTGTTACTCGCTTTCCAATTCCTACTCTGCTTCTATTGCATTTGTTCGAAGTCACCGCTAACAATGATGTCCTGATTTGTGTTTGTGCCACTTGTAAAAAGGTAAAGTAATTGTTCTTTTGGCTTTGCTGTCCTCACTCTTCAGCACATTACCTGCCAATAGGGAAAACTTCCACGAATAACGGCAATGAAGCATGAATTTAGTAGATCTGATTTCCAGGCTTTAAGGTTTTCTAGACTAGCTTTTGTTGCCCCCTCCCATACCCATTTTCACATTCCCAAGTTAAAATAAGGTAGAAGCAAGAAACGTGGGGAGATACCAAGACAGAGATAGAACCAGAATGGAGACGAATGATTCTACCATGATTGTGCGCCATGTTAGATGCTATAGAATCAAAATAAAACTAATTAATTGCTGCACAACCATTCCTCTTACTTCTGGGAAAGGAATGGAAATGAATTGAACTGACAAATATAAGTGCAAAGTTTTCATAAACTCAGTCCTGACTCCTTGACACAACACATTTGTGTTGCTTTTCGGGTGAGAATATGGAAATGGGCTTGCCATTGTCTTTTTTTCAGCTTGTCTCACGTGGATAGTGAAGCATTTAATCTGCGTGGGCAGGACAGTAAAAAGTTAATGGTTCTTTTCCCATCCTGCATACAAATCACATGTTTATGGAACGGAGCTTCTAACCCATGCGGCTGGAAGGGCTGGAAGCCATGCGAAGAGAAGGATACGAAGCAGGCACAAAGCCAGGAAGAACAGTCATAAACTTTTAAGCTCCTCCCACTTAACTAACTAAGCCAAAGCATTAACTGACAGGTAAAACTACATTACCCATAAGCCAACTCTTAAGGAAACAGCGTTTAACCCTTTAGATGCTAAACTTTCTAACATACAGTTCTCACAATGATACAACATTAACCCTGTAAATGCTATTCACAATAACACAATTCTCAAGTATATTCTCTGGCCAGATGATTACATAACTGGTCCAGCACATTCCTATTCTGGCCTACAATTCTGGTATTTCTTGGTAGTCTCCTGTCCAAGAAGTACCAGCCAGACTCAACCGACTTAGCCTGTGAGATAATTCAGGGTCACCCCACTGCTGCCTTCTGCTCAGATGTCAGACACAAGGAAACCAAAGAACAAAAAATCGGTTGTTAAGATTGAGCTTGTCTGGATATAATAGTTTGGTAGTCAGTTGCAGTAAGGGACAGGGTGTCTAACTCATTTGGTTCCTCATTAACAAGGAGGAGGCAATGTGCTTTCCATACAATCATTCACTAATAAAAGCATGCAATACAGGTGTGCATATTTTGGGGATCCATGCTGATGGAAAGAGTTAAATTATTCTTTTCTTCTGGTACATTGGCCCTGGGGATTTACAGAGGGAGGCCTTTTCGCTCAAGGTGAAAGTGTTACCCAGGGAGATCCAGATGAACATCTGGAAAAGATTAACATTCAGAATCAATTAGTTATTTGTGATATTATAGTCTATAAAGCTCAGGCTTCAGATAGTTTTAAATTCTCCTTTTTGCTGCTTTTTAAAACATAGATAAATATTCTGGCCAATGATGTGACTTATATTCATATTTACAAGGTATAAGATAAGACAGCATTAAAAACCTAAAGGTGTTTTCTGTTTTAAGCTTTTATTGTTAGGAGTAATGGTGGATTTGGCAATGGGTTAAAGCATATGGGTAAGTTTTGTTATTCACATGTCTGTTATATGTGCAAATTGGGATTATTTTGTCTCGTTCATTCTTACACACTGAAGTTATATTCCCATATATTGAGAATATAAAATACAGGTTGGAATGTGTATAATTAAGAATAAAATGTAGCTTTCCCTCAGAAAACTTCCTTAAATATTTTTTTCTTTTTTTCCTAGGCTTAATTACAATTAAAGAGTCTCATGATATAGAAGCCAGGCTGAATGAGGTAGAGAAACTCCTCAAGAATATTATAAATATGCCTTGGAAGGTAAGTAGGGGAAATGCCAAACTTCAGTGAAACTTTAGTCAATGTTGATTTTTCAATTGTTTGTTTTTTGTTACCTGGGAGACATGGACAAAGCAGTGAAGAAATTTTAAAATGTCTACTAAGTTAGTCTTAAGAATTATCCAGTCATGGTTGGAAGAGAGCCATAAATGGCTGCATTTTAGCCAAGATTGCAGGTTAATGCTAAAACTGTAATGTAAACCTTAAAATGGGCCTTATGGGTTATAGGAAACATGCTGAGACCTTGTGGCAGAAGGATGGAGATCTCAAATCTTTTCTCTCAGAAGATTTTTTACATCTTGATCTTCTCTGTCTTCCTTCATATCTTCCTGAAGGACCCTAACTTGGCATCTTCCCTTTGTTGTGTCTTTCCAGGGATGAAAATATCACAAAGCAAACAAAGTGAAATGATTTCTCTAGCACAGCTTTCTGGCCTATGGCATCAAACTGTGTGGCTAGAGGATTCAGTTCTACTTCCTCACCACATGAGAGATGAACGGCTCTTCATACAGCCTTACAAAGCAGACCGGTGCCCCATTTCTAGATGTCATAGTCCAGGAGTAGGCAACCTTGACTCTTTTATGACTTGTGGACTTCAACTCCTGAGCCAGCATGGCTGGTTCAGGAATTCTGGGAGCTGAAGTCCACAAGTCATAAAAGAGCCAAGGTTGCCTACCCCTGTCATAGGAGAACAGCTGCCTTCCAGCAGCTCCCTTGCTCTCTTTCTGCATCCTTTTACACTTTCAGAAAAGCCATTTCCATCAGAGTGAAGCGATTGAGATAAAGCAAATGCTTTAGCTGCAGTATTAAGGCGCTTTATTTTTCATGAGCTATATCACTTCATTCCATCCCTTTGAATTGAAGGTACACAGGAGATCCTAGTTTGTGTTGTACAAAACATCTATTTTGAAGTAAGGGCCAAGCTGGACAAGTTGCACATCCCAGTTCTACTTTTCACGTACTTATCCATTGAATTCTATGGGTAATTTTGGAAGGAATCAGAATTGCCCTCTAAACAAGGATTATTACAGAGAAAACCCCATTCATTCCATTTTAAAATAATAGATAGTTTATTGGTGTGGGGGCCAGACCGAGAGAGATAAACTTCCCTTCCTGCATATTTTGACATCCTACCTCCAAAGCCTACCCTGCATGTATGAGAAATATCACAAAGTGAAGCTGTGAGCAATTCATTCAATGTAATAAAGTTGGGTATTGAGTGTCCTTGAGTTTAATGAAGTTTCTCCAAGGAAGCTTTGATTGAATCATAACCTTGAACATCCCATTTATATTTGTCCTATGAGGGATGTGGAGATGCTTATAGCAGAAACATTTCTGTTTAGGGTAACATTTGAGGATTTTTTTCATCCATAATGAGGAAAAGAGTGAAGTAGTTAATTACTGCTAAAATGATTAATATCTGTGATGGGCACAGATTTGTTGTCTAAATTAGAAAACAATCGGTTCCATAGGATTTACTCTTAGGAAAAGATAAATGAGATCATCATCCATTCTAGAGGGCAACAGTTGCCCAATTCTTCCTCAACTGGATATCTTGGTATCCAGCCCTTCTCTCTCCCCCCTCCTTTTTTTCCTCTTTTCTGCTTTATCCCTACATGACTGACTTGCCCTTCTCCCACCTCACAGCTACACTTGCAATTCTCATTCTCTCCCATCCCAGAAGGTCCACAGAGGACCAGTTCCAACAAACATGCCCCCCTCATTCCTCAGAGCAAAGAGGCAGGGCCAGGGAACATCATGAGATGTTTCCAGCTTCCTATATGAAGGCCAGCTAACACCCTAGCCTTGAGGGGAAGAAAAACCACTCCCTTGTTGTATCTCTAAGGCAGGGGTCTTCAAACTTGGCCCTTTTATGACTTGTGGACCTCAACTCCCAGAATTCTTCAGTCAGACACGCTGGCTGGGGAATTCTGGGAGTTGGTCCACAAGTCATAAAAGGGCCAAGTTTGAAGACCCTTGTTCTAAGGGCTTTAGAATCGAGCACTTCCCAAGATGTTGTGGTTGATTTGGGGAAATGTTACTCTTCTTCTTGGAAATCAGTGTGCCTTAAGGCCTGTCTTTCCCAACTTGTTTCCCTTGCCTTGGCTATTGAATTGTATCAGTCTAACTTTTTTTTACAACTGCCTTTTTGTGCTTTCTTTCTTTTTTTTAGCACAAGTGGGCTAGGCAATACCCCTGAGAATGAATATCCCATGCAGCTGTAAACTAGAAGGAATAAATTCCTGGAATACGAGATATTTTTAGTACATGAACTACTAGAAAAAAGAAAGTATACTATAAGCCAATTAGAGAAATATTGCATGCGTTTTTCAGAATTTATATTTCTCATGTTATTTTAAACAATTGGGGCTGCTATGCGTGCAAGGCATTATCCAGTGCAGGTAATCCTGACATAACAATGCTAATTGGAACCAGAAACGGTTGTTAAGTGATGTGGTCATGAGTTGAAAAACCCCGCAAGAGCAGTTCTAGCAGTGCCAGTTGCAAACATTAAGCATGGACCACACAGGTCTTTAAGCAAAGACCTCGTGTGACTATGACTTCCGACTTCCTGCTGATTTCGCCATTGACTTTGCTTGTAGTAAACAAATAAGGAAGTTTACGAATCACAGTCTTGTGACCTTAGGATGTTGCAAACGTTGTAAATGCATGCCAGTTGCCAAGCACCCGAGCTGCAGTCACATCATTGTGAAGATGCTGCAGCAGGCTGTAAGTTTAGAGACTGGTCGTAATTACCACTCATTCAGTGCTGTTATAAGTTCAAACAGTTGCTGAACTAGTGATCATTAAACAAGGATAACTTCTAAAGTATTTGCTGTAGTTGAAAGTCCTCCTGATAAAAAGACTAGACCATTAGGTTATATATAGCTGAGAGGCAGGCAGTCTTCCCTTAAGGAGAGGCCAAGTATCACACTTTTTAAGGCAGGGGTGTCAAACTCAATTTAATTGAGGGCCGCATCAGCATTGCGGTTGCCCTCAGGGGGCTGGGTGGGTGTGGCCAGGGTGGGTGCGGCCTACTAGGTGGGCATGGATGGAGTGGGTGTGGCCTACTGGGTGGGTGTGGCCAGCTCTACATCATTTGTATCAAGGGTGCCTGTGGGGGCCTGGGCAGGAGTGGGACAGATCTGAGGGTCTCTGGCAGCAGGGAGTGGAACCGGGGCAAGTGCTAAGGCATGGTCCACTGGAGGAGCCTCACTGTTCCTCTCAAGCCATGCGGGGGGTGAGGGGGCTTATGGAGCTAAGACTGAATGCGTTTCAGCATAGATGGCCACCACAAAATTGTACATTGGCTCCCAGCTGGCCTGGGCCAGGGCCAAGGCAGCGGGGGCCATTCCCTGTTTCCAGGATGGCTTTGCGGGCCACATGAAACCACTTCACGGGCCACATCTGGCCCCTGGGCCTTGTGTTTGACATGTCTGTTTTAAGGGAATATCCAAAGGCCATCAGGGTAATCAGGAAAAGATGTCTGCACTGTGGGTTGGTAAGAATTTTAATATTCTTGGCTGTTTGTGGTTTATGAGTGTATGTATTCTGTGTGGGTAAAACCTAAATAAACACTTGAGTACCTTTTTTGTTTGTTTTCTCCCAAAAGTAAGAATAATCGAAAAGCCACATCAATAGCTTACTGCATATAGTTGTTCCATATGGTACAGTGTGCAGATCTATAGATGGTCCACTTTCTGTCAAACTCATTATCCACTTCAAACTTCCACAATCTGTAGATCTGTTGAAACTAGAACTGGCAGAGTTCCCAGCTAGTAGGGAAGGGCATCAAGTCTGAGAAAGTTGGTTAGCAACTTATAGGGTATCAGCCAGAAATTTTTCTTGATCCTACCTGCCAAGTGCTAAGGATTGAACAAAGGGCTTCTAGTTTGGCCCATAAAGTATGCCTCAAATGTTATTTTCTCCCATGATTATAATTGTCTTTGTTAATTTTATTTCAGTATTCCAGATCCGAAGTTGTCCTCACCTTTTTCGAAAGGTCTCCTTTAGATCAAGTATTAAAAAACGACAACGTCCATAAAATACAACCAAGCTTCCAGAGTCCAGTTAAAATATCTGGTAAGGCTTAGTGGTTTGCTTAAAGCTGCATTAGGTAATAATTAATCAATTGTGATTCATCTCAATATATACTCAGTATGAACTGGTGGGGGATAGGTTATTTGATGGTATTTTTTTATATTCAGTCCTACAAAATTATTCAATCTCATGAGGTTTTACAATCTTACAAAATTTAACTGCTTTTATGCTTACATTCCCCCCCCCAATCAATTTATCTTTCATTTTGGCTTCCTATAGACATTATGGGATGTTAGTAACTGCTGGATTAAGTTTTTGTCTGCAAGAGCTTTTGTTGGCGAGGTAGGGATCCGCATAAAAAAGAAGGTTGAGAATCTCCAGAATAGACTGGATTATTCATTAGGCCAGGGGTAGGCAACCTTGGCTCTTTTATGACTCATGGACTTCAACTCCCAGAATTCCTGAGCCAGCCATGCTGAGGGGAAAGGGAGAGGTTTCCAAGCTGAACCATGCTGGCTCTGGAATTCTGGGAATTGAAGTCCATGAGTCATAAAAGAGCCAAGGTTGCCTACCCCTGCATTAGGCAAACCAACTGAAATTAGACTTGTTCCCTCTCTGAGCATTCTTTTACCACTACAGCCTTAATTATTGAGATCTGTTGTTAAGATATAAAAAAACTAAACTACACATATAAACATCTTGGAAGCTGAAATGATGTTACATTTCGTTAATGTCGATCTCCCAGTTTGAAGAAATCGACAAGTTTTGTACAGGTGAGATATGATTCAGATTTTTGCTTAGGTAAACATTTCCCTGAGTGAGGTGGAATCAGTCATATCTCACTTAGGCTGCAGTTTTACACATGTATTCCTAGGAATAAATGCCCATAGAATTCATTATCTGTATAGTTGCACACATAGGGCAGTTCAGACATAGAAAAATGTGCCCATCTAATTTCTGAGTTCCAGAAAAGAGCAAGAAGAAACGAGATACATCTATGTACCCACACAAAGATTTGTTTGCAGAACTACAGCCAGATGTTTGTGAAAGTAAAGATCTAGAGAATGTTGTTAGTAGCAAAGCTGCAGGGGTTGCTGAAATGCCAGCCAAACAATTTAAAATCTTGCAATGTTTGGAAAATCAAAGACAAATGAAAAAGTGGCTGACAGAAGAGAAGATGGCTGGATTGTATCACTAATAACACAAGCATGAGCTTGCAGGAACTCATAAAAGCAGTTAGTAATCCAGTACTGAATTTAATTTAACCTGGAAACTTTTTATAGATTATTATTGCGCTTATAGACTTCTGCCACATCCAAAGCTTGGGTTTCTCTTAACACAAAGCTTTATTCATTATAATATGGGCAGGCTTTCTCCGATTGCACATAAATTTCAATTAATTATTTATTCGGGCAATGATTTTTATCCTATTGACTGCCTTATTTTACTGCTGAATATTGATTTCATTTTCAGAATGGTTTTAAAGTGCTAAATTGATTTTAAAAGTCACCTTTATATGTAGTACTAATCTAATGTTAACTCTTACTCAGTTTTTATACAGCTTATAAAATCTCTTTTCTATTACTTTTCTGCTGTTTTATTCTTTTGGCCTCTTTTTTTCCTTGTTACATTTTCAAATATCTATAAAATAAAGTAAGAAAACACAATCCTTTGAACAAACTTTTCAAAAGTGATATCTTTTAGGTTATGAAGAGTTGGAAGTGACTGAATAATTGAGTACCATCCCCGCAAGGCTCACACCAGCCTAATGCAACATTCCTGACTTGGGCAGCTTCCAGTTGCATGTTGAGTTCACTATCTAGAATTCTTAGCAATTGTGACCATTGTGGAGACTTTTGAGAAATAAATTCCTTTTGAGAAATAAATTCCTCCTGCCTGGAGGGTTACTAGGCTGGGAAAGCTGGGAAGCAGTTTGTGAGCTGAAACATGGTATTGAATGGTGTTTTTACGTTCGTGCATAAAGGAAAATGACGTGTCCTTGGTTATTGCAGAATAGAAAGAATACAATATAAATATATTCATTATAACTATTCATGGCATGCTTTGTGTAGTATTTAAGGCATACGCACAAGTAAGATTTTCCTATTTTTTTGTTTTTATTTTTGTTTTTTGGAGTGGGTTTTAATAATAATAATAATAATAATAATAATAATAATAATAATAATAATAATAATAATAATAAAAAAGTTGGAAGGGACCTTGGAAGTCATCAAGTCCAACCCTCTGCTCAGGCAGGTAACCCTATACCATTTCGGACAAATGGCTGTCCAGTCTCTTCTTAAAAACGTCCAGTGTTGGAGCATTCACCGCTTCTGAAGGCAGGTTGTTCCACTGGTTAATTGTTCTAACTGTCAGGAAGTTTCTCCTTAGTTCTAGGTTGCTTCTCTCTTTGGTTAGTTTCCATTTGTTGCTTCTTGTCCTGCCTTCAGGCGCCTTGGAAAATAGCATGACTCCCTCTTCTTTGTGGCAGCCCCTGAGATACTGGAACACTACTATCATGTCCCCCCTCGTCCTTCTCTTCATTAAACTAGACATGGGGTAGGCAACCTCTGCTCTTTTATGACTCATGGACTTCAACTCCCAGAATTCCTGAGTCAGCTGCTGACTCAGGAATTCTGGGAGTTGAAGTCCATGAGTCATAAAAGAGCAGAGGTTGCCTACCCCTGAACTAGACATACCCAATTCCAGCAACCGTTCCTTATATGTTTTAGCCTCCAGTCCCTTAATCAAATGAATGGAGAAATCAAACAAATTCCTTTGGTCTCTCTTGATCTGTTGAATTCAGAATCTCTCAGGGCAAACAATATCTGGTAGAGTTTGCTAGAATAGATGCTATGCAACAAGATAATATTTAATTTTACAAAAGAAAGGTTAGGGGGAGAACAAGAAAAAAAAAGACCTTTTGGTCACATTTCACTTTGGATCTGTTTAGCTTGTTTGCTCGGGCCACTTGCATCATCAAAAGAGTGAAAAGGACATAAGGACATAATTTTATGTTCAGTAAAGAAAAGCCTGTTCCCCAAACAGTCCCTTCCCAGGCTGAAAAGGAAAAAAACAAGAACAAGGCTACGGCTTTTCTTTTCTTAACTTCTTGCCATAAACAGCATTTCCTGGGGTGGGGAATAGAGGAAACTAAATTGGAATGGATACAAGGCTAACGATAAATTTGTTTTACTAAATGCAGAACAAAAACAAGAGAATCATCTACACGTTTAAGCATTAGATAGGAAGACTACGTAAAGAAAGTTTAGATATGTCTTACATACCCAGATCATCCAGAGATAGTTAGCAAAAACTTCAGGGTTCACGGGTAAACATTTCTGATTAGGAAAGTTTTTTTTACAATTAGATAGAATCTCTGTTGTTTTTGTACAAAACCCTGACATGTAAGATACAGGAGCCCTTTCTGTGTTCTTTTCCCATTGGAAAACAGTTCCTGAAGGCAGATATTATTTGGTAAAATGTTGTTCAGTTCAGGAGAACTTTAGCCTCTCCCACCAATTGAAAGCTGAAAACTGTTCATGCTCTCTTGATTGTTGCTGCCCAAGACAAAACCATTAAAATTAAAAAGTCATAGAGATCCTAGAGAATCACAGAAAAAGTTATAGAATGGGAAAAGTACCTGGCCATAAAAAAAGAGCATGGGTATGTGTATGTGCGTGCGCACGCGTATGCACTGTGTGTGTGTGTATAATGGGATTTGGAAACTATTAAGGAATACATGTATTCTGTATTCTGGACTGAGGGCAGGACAAGAAGCAAAGGATGGAAGCTAACCAAGGAGAGAACCAACCTAGAACCAAGGAGAAATGTCCTGACAGTTAGAACAAATAATCAGTGGAACAAATTGCCTCCAGAAGTGGTGAATGCTCCAACACTGGAAGTTTTTAAGAAAAGATTGGACAACCATTTGTCTGAAATGGTATAGGGTTTCCTGCCTGAGCAGGAGGTTGGACTAGAAGACCTCCAAGGTCCCTTCCAACTCTGTTATTCTATTCTATTCTATTCTAATATTTATCATACTTTTAGAAAATTATTTTGGAACTGGAAAAAGAAATTCAAGATGGAGTTTAATACTATATAACGTTTCAAACTGAACATGGGAAAGATAACATGCTTGTTCCGTGTATGCTCAAATGCTAATAAAATTAAGTGTCATTTTAACATTTATTTAATTAATAATTCAATCACATATTGAAATTGCAGAGAGTGATCCCTTGATTCTTGGAGGTATAAATAGTTTTTTTTTTCTCTCAACCTTGATAATCCAGCTCATATAAGAGAAACTCTGGCAAACTCCCCTCAGTGTTTCAGACATTATGTCACTCCCAAAGACAGTCCTTGTGTCTTATGGAGGCACAAGTAACTTCAGAACAGATCTGCACAATATTCGTCCTGTAGGCTACATGAGGCCTTCCAAGCAGCGTTATGCATTCCTGCTATTATTGTTTTTCATCATTGCCAAATCTCGCTTTAGAAGAGATCAATTTCATATTTTCTTGCAATAGTAAGAAAAGCCCCTGCCCAATTTTTTGTAGCAACTTCCAACCTCAAGGGACATGCTACCGAGTATCTTCCAGGCTTCAGGAACACTGCCAGCTCCAGTGCTGCTTGCCATCAAACTATATAGCTTCTTCTCTCTCCTTCATCCTTCATTAAAGAATGTCTGTATTATGATTATATTTTCAAGGATTATGTTTTTTTAAAAAAATGTAAAGAAAGGCCACATTATTGTTGTCTTCCTTGAACGTTAAGCTGCAGTTCTATATCAATAGAACTTATTTTTGAGTCAGCATCAGGAAATTGGTGACTGAAATGATTAAAATGATTTCTTGATCATTTTAATCACGATCCAAGAGTTCCTGTAAATTCCCTACAAGGTACACCCTGAAATACGATACTTACACTTACCTTTAAGCATGTACCTTTTAGGAATTAGTTCATTGTTTGTTCTGACCCAGAGTTAAGTTGCTTTGTAAGACCAGGTCAGACAGATAAACTCAATGAAAATGATTCCAAAACAGATATATATTTATTCAGAGAAATACTTGCATTTATGGTGGTTGCTTCTGGATATTGCACATCTGTTCATTCTCATAGGTGAGAAATTAATACTTTCTCCATACCACTTCTATATCTTGGATTGGAGCCATTGGAGACATGCGATGACCCCATGCTTTCTCAGACAAAGACATTCCAAACTGGCCCATGGCCAGGAAATCCTGTAATAAACTTTAGTAGCTCCTCCCACAAATCTGATAATACGGGATTGCAGACTAGCTAAACTACATTACCCACAAGCCATCTCTTAAGGAGACAGCACTTAACCCAATAAATGCCAGATATTCTAACATGCAGACCTACGTGGTCCTGAACATTGTTTGTAATGTTTCCCTTTTCCTCTTCTTTCTCTTCAGAAATCATGCGTTCTAATGGATTTTGTTTAGCTAATACTGAAACCATAGTTATTGATCACAGTATACCAAACGGCAAAGAAAGGCACTTGGATGCTGATTCAGCAGAACACTTGTAAGTAATCATGATCCCTTGATATGTATCCTCACCTCTAGATATGAAACCGCCTCCTTTCCCCCCCCCCATGTTGAGTGTAATTGAGAAACAAACTATTGAACTCCTGTTAAGGAGGAGGAAGATTGCGTATCGCCACTTCCTTGTATTGTGGTCCAAATAGGATCAGAGGCCCATGCATTTAATGCAGCTCAGATACATCCTAAGCCCCTTGTCCTTTTCCATTAACATGACTCGGGGAGCTCATCCAATTAAGCTCAAAGCAGTCTTTGAATACAGGTAGTCCCCGACTTACAACAGTTCATTTAGTGACCGTTCAAAGTTCAACGGCGCTGAAAAAAGTGACTTATGACCGTTTTTCACACTTACGAGCCTTGCAGCGTCCCTATGGACACATGATCAAAGTTCAGACGTTTGGCAATGGATTCATATTTACGACAGTCACGGTGTCCCGGGATCATGTGATCCCTTTTTGCGGCTTTCTGACGAGCAAAGTCAATGGGGGAAGCCAGACTCACATAACAACTGTGTTACCGACTTAACGACCACAGCAGTTCGCTTAAGAACTATGGCAAGGAAAGCCGCAAAATGTCTTGCTCCACAGCATAGATCTTGGGCTTGATTGTGGTCGTAAGGCGAGGACTACCTGTATCAGTGAGCCCTCCTTCCACCCTTATAGGCCTCTATTTTGAGACTTTTTTCCCCTTCTTTCTCCAAAGATATTTCTAAGTTATGCTTCCCCCCCCCTCGGTTGCTCTGCATTAAATATTGCACTAGTTTTGCTTGTTTTAAAAGCGAAGGTGAATTGGCTTTTCCTTCCCTACCCACCCCCAGGCTTCTGTGCATGGAAATTAGAGATCGTGTCGCCAGTGCAGAATTGGAGCTGCAGTTGCCTGCAGTTATTTTCTTTTTTGCTTCTAGATCAGGGGTCTTCAAACTTGGCAACTTTAAGACTTGTGGACTTCAACTCCCAGAATTCCTCAGCCAGCCAAACTTGGCAACTATAAGTCCACAAGTCTTATAGTTGCCAAGTTTGAAGACCCCTGATCTAGATTATATTTATCATGCCAGGAGCTGGGTTAGCAGCTAGATCTGCCAATACAATCTTTGTGGATAGCACAATGACAGTCAGAGTTGTATCACAGAGGAGTCCTGGGAAATTCTATGGTGGCAGGTGATGAATGTGTCACTGCCAGAATTTTACAAGAGTTTAAATATTTGGAGTGTAAAAAACCGAGTCTTGAACAGGGTGGCAGAATAAGAAAAAAATACTAATCACAAAGCATGTTACTAAGGGTCAACATTATGTTAGGTATGTTATGTGGCTTGGTACTAGGCTCACGAATCTGTGTACCTGTGTGTATATATGTTGTTATTTCAACAGCTCCTGTGTCAATTTGTGCAATCATTTTACATATCCCAAACTATAATAATGCCATTTCTACTGGCATTATTATAGAATAATAATATATTAAAGACAGGATTCTAAAGACTGACTATATTTCTCCGCACAGATAAACTTTCAGACTTGGGAAATGATAACTATCATTTGGTTTTTAATTAAAGAGGAAAAAGATAACTTAACAGGAGTCCTTCAGAAAGAGATGTTTTTTATTCAGTAGGTGGCAGTGTCTCCCCTTCGTGCCTTCATCATAGTGCATTGTTGCTGCAGTTATGATAGTTTGAAATGATCCACTCGTAAATAACATTCAGGTTATGAGATCAGTTCATAATAAATATTGTGAGTCAGAAAATGTGCAAATGAACCATTATCCAGTAAACAACATACCTAAAATTCATGAATCTTGTGGAAAGCATTAACGAGATTTGGGGCAGAGCACACAAATTTATATCCTACAGTATAAACCTCAGTTGTCCAGGATTGAAATAGAGGCCAGTTTTCAGTCCCACATGTTCTGATATGTTTTTATTTGGAAAATATTTAAAGTACTGTTCTATAAAAATACAACAACCCATGTTAAAAAAAATAATCAAGGTTTCCTGAGAAACTGGTTGCACAGGGGCCACTGCTGCAGGTCCAAGTCAACAGGCTATGTTGTAACCAGTTTCTGATATCAACCTGGGCATTTGCAAGGCTGTTACTTGATCTATTCAGAACAAGTTAACCAAGATGTTAGTGTGGCTGGTATATCATTATCAAGAAGCTCTGTATTTGGATAAATCCGTGTTTGTATTTCAGTGCTGCAAAAGTCAACGATCAAAGAAATGCCATCCTTATTTTCAGAGATTAAAAAAAAGTTACAAATTTCATTGCATTCTGCCAAGCATAAAGGCCTTTAAAGCAGCTGTCAAAAGGTTATTAGAGTGAAATGGGAACATCTGGGCTTCAGTTATATCATTCATTGCTCAAGTGCTTTCTAGCTAACTTCTTTCCTTCTTCACTCAAGTTCATAATAAAATGGAGCCTCCTGACTTACAGATAAAACCCTTGTCACAATGATCTGTACATTAAAATGTATGTACTCAGAGTAGAAGATTTCTTTGTGATTCATCAGTTGCATCATTTGAAGAAACTCTTGCAGATTGCAAAATTATGGCTTGTGCCCATGTGGAATGACAGCTAAATTTGATCAGTCAGGTGGATTCCCCAAATTCTGGCTGGGCTAATGACTTATATATAGTATCCACCTCTGGCTATTATCTTGGTGGCATTACAACATAGTAAATATAGACCAACCAGTATCTCCTTTTGTGTCTCTATTGTATGTCCTGGTACGAATGACAGTTCTTTGTTTTATCCATTTTTAGGTTCGAAAATGTTAGTGAATTTACCTCCGAGTTGCAGGACACTGATGATCCAACAGCTTATGTCACCAACTTGTCCTACTATCATCTGGTTCCATTTGAAACGGACATTTTGGACTAAGACTGTCAAGCAGACTTCCTGGCTGACATCAGGCAACTGCCCCATAGCTTTGCACTGATCATGCCTACTACAAGTTTAGGATGCAAGACCGAAAAGGATTCCTACAAATGTAAACCTTGAAGCTGATTCTTCACAGTGGCTCCCTGGGCCAACTTGCAAGAATGCTTTTCTCCTCTAATGGACAAAGAGGTTTTTTTTTATATATATGGCCAAAAAGAATGAAACAAGGACATCAAGTGCTAAGTTGGTTCAAAGAATAAGTGATGCAGTGGTTTTCACACACTGATAAAACTTTGATGATACCAAAAAGGAAACAAAACATCAGCGGTACCGATATTTACAGTGCTAAATGCAAAGAAACTTCATGTTCCTTCTCTATCAAGCTGTCTCTAATCCCACCCAACATTTTGAACCTTTTTTTAATTGAAAGATTCATTATGATCAGACACTAGAGGATTTTTTTTTTTTCATTTCTCATGACAGCTTGCAAGAAATGTCCACCAGTTGGTTTACAGGGAGTATTCCAGAGTAAGTGATGCCTTATGTAATGTGTGCCTACAAGAAATAAGCTCATGAATTGACTGCTTAGTTTAGCTTAATTTGAAACCAAGGATTTTAATCCTCTGAGCAACTATCATTTTCTCCTGAAATAAATAATAATAATAACGAAACAAAAGATCAAATAAGCAAGTTGTAGCTCAGAGAGAAAGGGAAGTGCTGATGAGTTTTAAATGGTCTATCTAAACTTTTGATTCCCCCCCCCCCCGAAGAATTTTCCAGGATTTTTTTTGTTTGTTCCACAATAGGAACACTTTGCAATTCTCAGTATTAATGTTTACACAGGTGGGGTACATTTCTTCCTGTCACTTAACTTTCCATGGACTAGAACAAGTAACTTGCCAAAAGGACGATTTCCACAGTGAGTAATCTTCAGCACTCCCCCCTTAAATATAAATAACAACAAAGGAACATAGAGTGGAGTTCAGTTTGGTGGAGTGGATTCATGTTACCGAATGGTTTAAATGTTATGAATTACGTGCCACAAAAATATTGCTTTTTTTGGCACATCACTGGGCAGGTGCAGTATGCGCTTCAACCCAGAGAAAAACCTGATCTTGCATTAGGTGATTTTACAATGGCAAAACTTGAGTATTTGTGAAAGGAGAGAATATCTTCTTTCACTAATAATAGGAATGCAAGCTGTTGTTCATACCACTCACTCAGCAATAAGCTTACAGTATTACAGCTATCATTATTTGAAAGTTACCCCACTGTTCTGCTTAAGCACCAACCTTCCTCCCCAGCTTATCTTGTGTGGATAAGATAAAGGTAAAGTCGTTGCTCATCTCTGTTTCAAGGCCATTGAGCCAATACTGTCCAAAGACGTATCTGTGGTCATGTACAGTAGACAGCATGACATCATGTAGTGCTAAGCAGTTAAGACACTGGGCTTGTCAGCTGGAAACAAGCGCTGTGTGACGGGGTGAGCTCCTGTTCTTGCCCCAGCTCCTGCCAACCTAGTAGTTTGAAAGCATGCCAATGTGAGTAGATAAATAGGTATCGCTTCAGTGGGAAAGTAACAGCATCTTGTGTGATAATTGAACAAGAACTCCTTTTCCTGTAATAATAGCATAGGACAGGGGTGTCAAACTCAATTTCATTGAGGGCCGCATCAGCATTGCGGTTGCCCTCGGGGGGCTGGGTGGGTATGGCAGGGTGGGTGCGGCCTACTGGGTGGGCATGGCCAGCTTTACATTGTTCACATCAAGGGTGCCTGTGGGGGCCTGGGCAGGAGTGGGACAGATCTGAGGGTCTCTGGCAGAAGGGGGTGGAACCGGGGCAAGCGCCAAGGCATGGTCCATTTCTTCATTCCTCACAAAGGGTGACACCTCCCCAGCATGCACCCAGGGGGCAAGGCCGACACAGCAGGGGCTGGTTCCTCGATGTTTCTAGACAGCCTTGTGGAGCTAAGACTGAATGCATTTCAGCATAGATGGCCACCACAAAATTGTACATTGGCTCCCGGCCAGCCTGGGCCAGGGCCAAGACAGTGGGGGCCGTTCCCTCACTGTTTCCAGGATGGCTTCGCGGACCACATGAAACTACTTCGCGGGCCGCATCCAGCCCCCGGGCCTTGTGTTTGACATGTCTGGCATAGGAGATTGAGGGTCTACAGCAGGCATGTCAAACTTGTGACGTTGCGCAATGTATCGCGACTTTTTCCCCATTGCCGGCAATGGGGTGGGCACAGTTTCGTCATGACGCATCCAGCCCGCAGGCCGGCAGTTTGACATGCCTGGTCTACAGCACCAGCATTGACATGCAGCCTTTACTGAACCTCTGTACTCATTGGTTAAGAGTACAAGCACTCCCCCAAAGAATGATCCCTGTAATACTTAAACCTTCCTTTCAGGTGGCCATAAGCCAGAAGAAAAAAATACACAACTCTTGGATTTCCGTGAAAGAGGTATGGCAGAAGTAAAATCCACAGAGCTAACGAGTGAGATATGGATGGAGAAAGAGAACTGATTCTCCCATGAATACACAACAGCCAAAACAGGGCTTAAACTGCTGAGTGTTGTTGCCTTGACATTGATTTGAAATAGAACTCACAGGGTAGCATTCAACCACATAGTGATTGAATTATTTACAAGATGCCCATCTGCAGGTGTTTCAGTCATCTCTTCCTTTGTCAGGATGTTCTGGAACCATTGTTCTGCATTTAGAGTTAGGGTACAGTGAATTATTGATGTCAAGCTGTAGTTTACAAGGATTGGGAAATGACAGTGAAGGCAGTATTAAACCAACACATGCTTGTAAAGTAGATTAATGTCCATAATGTAATGGAAATAAGTGCATTCTAGTAATAATTCTGTTTTTCCCCTCTTGGTTGGGAAGGATATGGTACATCTTCCCCCATCGCTAAAGCTTTTCAGAATCTTTTGTATAATAACTGTAAAGCAACATTTGCAAATGTAAATATTAATAAGTTATTGAAAACCCTAACTCTTTTACAAAATATGTTTCCATTATATTTTAATGAAATAAAAGTATTACTCGTCTTCAATGTAATGTTTGCAATTGAATATCATTTTTTAATTGCACCAAAGGAGCTCGCTGGTGGGCCTGTTTTATACAGTTTCAGCTTCTGACATTATTGTCTATAAATCTCACCATCTCTTGAAGTCTGGGATTATGGGATTGTAATCCAGCACCATCTGGGAGCACAAAGTTGACATAGATATTCTAGCATTCTTCGACTGTGATTGTCATAGGATGATGTATTTTTCTCAGCTCTCTTAATTGATGCATTTCAGTAGAGTTATGAATTCTAAAATAAATTCAGGGCATATTTACATTAACCTTCCTTTCAAAAGCCAAGGTGAATAAACCTCATACATATGCAACTAAGAACTTAAAATGATGTCATAAAACCTTTAATTGACTAAGAACAAGTGCCTATTTCTTTCTACTCTACCTATGGTGGAACTTGCACAGATGACATTGTCCAGAAGCTAAGCAGAGCTAGCCATGGCTGCTATTTTAATAGAAGACCTCCAGGGAATAATTGTGCTCTAAATTAGAATAATTTAATGGCAAATCACTTCTGTTTTACTATCAATAAAACAATATAAGGATGTCCTGAAGATGGGATTGAATGGAAGAAGACTTTACATTTTATAAGATTTGGGGAAAAATATGTAAAATATTAGTTTTTCAGAATCCAACTTTTTTTTCTTGTAAATTAATTTAGATTAAAGTTACTTGTAAAGTAAAAACAACACAAATTTAAAGAAAAAAAACAAAAAGGAAAAAAAGTAATAACTAGAACAGAAATGAAAGAAAAAAGAGGAAAAAGAACGCTATAAAGAAGAACTAGAGAAGAAGGAAAGAAAAAGGAAAGATATACAGAAGAATCTTCCAATCTTCTTTACAGCAATTAAAAGCATTTATATTTTACCCTTCCTCTCCTAAGTTTACAGTGTAATTTTCTTCTTTATAGTCTATACTTTCTAATCATTCTTCTACTATGGGTATTTTAGAATTTTCCATTTTTGTGCCTATAATAATTTCACTTCAGTTATCCTTAAGTCTTTTCTAGTTGTCTGCACATTAGTCACAGCAAGAAAAGTTTTTGTATCAATTGAATATTAATCTTTAAAATTCTTTCTATCACTGTGTATATTTGAATCCAAAATTTTCCGCTGTGTTTAACAAGCATGATAAAATGACCCTTCACATTTTCCACATTTCCAACAAAATTTGAAATACTTCTATAGAGTCTAGAATGTTTTTCTGGTGTCATATATCAAAAGTATTATCATTTTGTAAAAATTCTCTTTTAAATTATAACACAGTGGTGGCGAACCTATGGCACAGGTGCCAGAGGCGGCACGCAGAGCCCTCTCTGTGGGCATGCGTGCCGTCGCCCCAGTCCTAGGCCTTCAGCTGGGTTTTATAAAACCTTTTTGCTTTAGGCCTCTGCCGCCGTGTGCAAAAAAAAAAAAAAGGTTCAATCAGTCAATTTCAACTTCTTGCGGGAAAAAAAAAAGATCTTGCAAAGTTGAAATTGATTGATTGAACTTTTTAGTCCCACCCAGTCTGCCATTACCACTGCAGCCACGCCCACCCAATGGGCCACACCCACCCGGCACTCGACAATGCATAAGTGGGTTTTGGGTTGCAGTTTGGGCACTCAGTCTCTAAAAGGTTCGCCATCACTGTTATAACATAATGTGAATTTCAGTCCTTTCAGCCCCATAGGAGCCTTTTGAAGTCGGCAAAATGAGGACCCAGATTGTTGGGGGCAAAATACTGACTCTGTAAACTGCTTAGAGAGGACTGTAAAACACTGAAGCGGTATATAAGTATAATAAGTGCTATTGCTATTGCTATATTTTCCTATTGATCCATCTGTATATTGTAATCAAAGTTCTTAACCCATTATATCATGCACCCTTTAACTTGTTCTTCTGTTTCAAATTTCAGTAAAAGCTTAGGTATTTAAACGATGATATGTTCATCATTTGCACATAATTCAATTTCAAATTCCATCTTATACTGTTCGGTTCCTAATGTTCATTTGCCTAATTAAAATCTTTTTCTTAGCTGTATATAGGAAAATCATTGGAAACCAAATCTCTCTGCAATCAATTGATATTTAGAGTTCATCTTATATTCTCCATGTTCTTGTTCTGACACCTTCCAATCAGTCAACCATTTTTCTTGGCTGATTCTTTTTTATAATGTGTTTCTTGTGCTAAGATCCACAAAGGCAGGCCTTTTTTTTTTGTCATAGAACGCCCAGAACGGAGTTCCAGCACCTTTTTTGGATGGAACCTTGTAGGGTAGGCAAGGCGGGTTGTAGAACGTGTGTGAATTCTGGCACCTTTTTTTTTTTTACAAAAAAAGCACTC